GGATGGGTAGGTCCCAAAATAACATGGAACATTTTAAGCAAATCTGTTAGAACTGCTTTTTATGAAACGCACTTTCCTGTGAGACAGCAGCCAGTAGGCTGTGATTCTGGTTACTCTTCCTCCTTTCAGATGTACCTCTCTGTCTGGTCCGGGTGTTTGCCAGCCATATCCAACTGTAAGAAAACTTGATCCTCTTCAAAAAAGAGAGTTTGTTTAGATAAACACCTGAGAAAATACATTTCTCGGTCTATTTATAAGGCCAGAGCTTGAAGAGGAAAATGATGGGTCTGTGCAAGATCCAGAAAGATGTGGACAGCATTGAACAGTGTCAGCATTGGGGAACGAGACATCTGTCAGTGGTATCACAGCTGGGTGCCTCGATCTGTGTGTGTGTCCCGGGTCCAATGCCCTGCTCTTCGTGTTAGTGTGGGTAAAGCTCTGCATCAAATCCTTACACACAATGCCAATGGCATCCTGGCTTGTATCAGGAATAGTGTGGCCAGCAGGAGCAGGGCAGTGACCGTGCCCCTGTACTCGGTGCTGGTGAGGCCGCCCCTTGAATACTGTGTTCAGTTTTGGGCCCCTCACTACAAGAAAGACGTTGCGTTGCTGGAGCATGTCTGGAGGAAAGCCACAAAGCTTGGGAGGGGGCTGGAGCACAAGGCTTATGGAGCGGCTGGGGGAGCTGGGGGTGTTCGGTCTGGAGAAGAGGAGGCTGAGGGGAGCCCTTATTGCCATCTACAATTCCCTGACAGGAGGTGGGGGCTGTAGTGAGGTGGGGGTTGTCCTCTTCTCCCTGGTAATGGGTGATGGGACGAGGGGAAATGGTCTGAAGTTGCGCCAGGGCAGGTTTAGGTTGGACATTAGGAAAAATTTCTTCCCCGCAAGGGCTGTCAGGCTCTGGAATGGGCTGCCCAGGGAAGGGGTCGAGTCCCCATCCCTGGGGGGATTTAAAAGACGGGTAGATGAGGTGCTTAGGGACAGGGTTTAATGGTGGGATGGCAGGGTTAGGTTAAAGGTTGGACTGGATGATCTTAAAGGGCTTTTCCAACCAAAGCGATTCTATGATTCTTCTCTGGTTAGTCCTGTTGTTGAAACAGCATTCCCAGGAGCTCTGGAAATGACTTCTATCCACTATCTGACCTATTTTTAGTGTTTAAGTTGGCCTTCACAGAGCATAAGCCTCAAACAGGTTTTCTTCCCTCCTAATAAACAGTAAAGCTGTTCCTCACGGGCGATCCTGGTTGCAGAGGTGACGGTGAAAGTAATGGGTGTGACTTTACGTTTCATTAATGCAAATCAAAATGCATTGGTAATGTAATGTTTTATCTAGTACATTTATTTTTATTGTGCTCCTCTCCTGGACTGTATTTTAACAGTAATTTTAGTTTGTAGTTCCCTGTCTGAAGTATCCAAAATATATAAATTGTTCTTCATGTGTGGTAAGGCACAATGTTCTTTCACTTTGTAGGTGTTCTGTAGTTTAATGTAAAGCGATTTTGATACTTGAAGACATTTTCTTAATCCTTTAATCATAACCAGAAATCATTAGTTGAGTTTCTGAAATACTTTTGTCTTGCCCCGTATTCTGGGTTAAGTTCTGTAATAAAAGGGGAAGGTTAAAGGCTTTCCTTAAATCCATCAACATCAATTTTTAGTGATGAGTTGTGACATTTCTGCTGAGTGTAGAAACTTCCAGGAAGCTTAATAAGAGATGTTTTGGTTTAGGTTTGTACTTCAGGATGAATTGAATAACCTGGAACATACACAGCAGCTAATTCTTGAAGACAGGTAATGAGTACTAGATCTCTCAGGGTTTATTTCATAAAGATGTCTTGCTGTCCCATCAAAAACTTGGTCGCACTGGTAGCATCCATAATGGCTTGACCACGTTTATCTAATTTTATTTCCATGCCCATAGCCTGATTTTTTTTTTTCCAGTAGCCCTGGAAATTTCTCTAGTACTAAAACGATGACAAAATGATATGCCTGAGGCAAAGTGGCAAAGTCATCTTTGAAACATGTTGTAGTAGTGTTTGGGGAAGCTCTTAATGGATCATCTGTGAAATGTTTTCGTTTGGGTTATAATTGTTTGGTTTGGGGTTTTTTTTTGGGGGGGGGGATGGGAGGGGGGTGCCTCCCCATACATGTTTGCCAGCTTTGAAATTCCCACTATATTTTCACTAGGACCTTAAGCCAAAAAGGCAGTAAAAGGAATTCACGTGCTAAATGTGAAAAACTTTTTTCGTCATGCTCGTGATCAACTGGTCGGCAGCCTAGCCGAAGGGAAATACGGACCTTTGATAAGTTTATGGTAATTTAATAAGGTCATTAGGTCATTCCACCCGGGTCTGTGTGCTTGTGTTGAGTTAGCCTGGTCATTCTCCAGCATTTTGTGGATGCCATTTTCCTTACATACATGGATGCCATTTTCCTACGTTTTCTTACATAGGGTTTGCAGCAGGGTTCTCTCTTTGCACGTGCCGGTGTACAGGCTAACGCACCGAGGTAGCTCAGCACTAGGGATGCGAGAACGGGGGTGCCAGCTCCCCATCCGCACGCGTGGCTCCCAGCCGAGGTGCGGTCTGATAAACCCCTGCCTGCGTTGCCAGGGCAGATGGCACAGAAGCCCACCTGAGCAACCGGGAGGCACCTGATGTTCTCCTTAAAAATCTGCCGCGTCAAAAAAGAAATGACCAAATTGAGAGCGACATCAAATTTTAAAAAGATGAACGATGGAAGTAGAGGAGTATTTCTCTGTAGCTTCTTGAATCTATGCGTTTTCTTGTGAGGCTGCAGACAGCCTTGGCTTGGTTCTCTAATATTATTTTAAGGTGCCGCCTTCAGATCCTGACAATTTCATCTCGCATGTGTTTGATCCGAGCAAGCGCGGTGCTGGCAGCTCTGGGAGCCGGCAGAGGGCACAGGAGCCTGCTGATGAAGCTGCTGCTCGGTTTGGGTTGGTTTTTTTTTTTCTTGGAAAAAGTGCTGTTCACCCCCCAAGCCTGGGATTGCAGCACTGCAGGGCAGGTTTATACCCGGAGAGACAACTGCCTTGGAGCAAAATTTCATCTGTTGTTCTGAATGATAACATTTTTCACACAGGCTGCCGACAGCCTACCCAGTGGGTTTAAAATATAAGAAATAAAATTAGTGTTTTCCATTCAGTGCCTGATTTGGATCTCCCTTGCGTGGTGAAAAGGCAGATATTGAAATTGCTTCTTGTATCACAAGAGCAGGATCTTTTATCTGAGATCCCACATGCGAGAGCATCACAAGGACATTGCCAGCAAAGCTGCTCCTTTAAACCATGTCTTTGTCTTGTACAAATAAAGGATATTAGGGTTTTTCTTTTTTTTTAACTTGTTCTGCTTATGGCTCAATCTTGTATTGTGGCCTTGAAAGGAGCTTTGTCCCGACAAAGAGCTCCATTACAGACACTGGATTTATCCCAGCAGCCGGATCTGCCAAGGGGCCATCCCTTGCAGAATCAGGGACTTAGGCTGGCACCCAGGCCTGGCTCTTCCTAAGCATTTGCACAGCACATGGTCCTGATTAGCATCTCCAAGTGCTGCTTTCATACAAGCAAGTAATAATGGTGGAAGAAATTCCACATTTTAAGCCATATTACAATAATAATAATAAAAGAGATATCAAAACTGCCAAAATTCATATCCCTGTGGCAGGGTATAAGAGTCATCCAATCTGAATGTGCTTTTCAAGTGACGTGTGGTTATTTTATCAGAGGATTATTTGACATTGCTGCCTGCAGTAGTACAAGGCTGGAGCCCGTGAATCGAGTCATCCCTTTCAACCTTACGCTTTTAAACTTGTCTGGGAAGGGGAAAGTTTGTACCTTCAAGTTTCCAGCGAGGCTGCCAAAGGTATATGTCAGGCCAGGTGATTTACTGTGTGACTTTGAATAAAGTTTAATTTCTGTAATTTTCTTTATCTGTAAAACAGTGATAATGGGCAAATACTGTCCTTTTGCAGTGCAGTGAGAACAGCAGTTATCCTTAAATGTCAAGCGTACGTCAATAGCCCAAAGTAAATTAGCTATATTAGAGGTTATTTACCGGACCAACACACTAGATAAGTGCAGGGAAAGCACATCCCAAAGTATTATTAAACCTATTTTGCTTCTGCTGGTATATGGGATTGTTTTGAGAAAAAGAGGGATGTTATGTTGTAGCCTGCGTTATCTTTTGGTGAGTCTTACTTTTTTCTCTTCTATTAACTTTGAGATTTGAAAGGCAACTCACTTGAGCAATTATACGGTGTCTCATATGAAATACTGAGACCGTTACAACCTTCTGCAAACCAGACGGCCTTGCCAAGGCAGAACCTTTGTGTGTAATATTTCCCATCTCCCTTTTCCAGATCAACACTTGATTGAAAATCAGAGTTGATTGTATTGCTGGTTTGAAAGCGGACATGTTCATCTGCATTAATTCTCGTGTTGTAGGTTTTTTAACATAGGTTATTTTTCGTAATGCATGTCAAAGATTTCCTAACTCTTGCTGTGCAGTATCTTTAAGAATTACATTTTAAAAGAGAATGTATTGAAGAGACTGTTGATACCCTAAAATACTGTGTGTAGATTATAGCATGACATTTTTGAAAAGCATTTTTTGTATTTCAAAACAAAAACACGGGATAAGCCTGCTTTTGGCATGAAAATAAGTTATTTTTTTCTTTGGCTTTGGTTTTTGCTTTGGTTTTGCTCTTCTAACCAGATAAGTATATCTGCTTTTATCTGGTTATACATGAACACAGTTTTCTACTTTAATTCGCTCAATAACTTCGAAAGTATTGTTGGAATGAGTCTTTGAAGTTGTGTCTGTGCAAATTTTGCTATGCAGCCTTTCTCCTGGGAATGCCACCTCAGATATGGTCGTCTCCAATTCTAACCTTCACCCAATGATCCATTCGGCCAAGAAAAAGGGCTACTCTTCTTACTCCCCTGTTTTTGTGTGTGTATGTGTGTGTATGTTCCTCAGAAAGCCAAACTTGGGCCAGCTGGTAACAAAGTCATTACTCCAACAGAAGACAAGAACTCAAGTGTGCCATCCAACAATCTGGACAGGGTGAAGCTGACAGATTTCAACTTTCTCATGGTTCTTGGAAAAGGGAGCTTTGGGAAGGTAGGAATTCTTCATAACTATTCTGCTCACATTCTTTTTTTCTTTCTTTTTTTTTTCTTGAGGAAGAATGAATAAATAATTCTCTAAGAAGCAAAATCCAGAGTCAAAAGGATGCACGTTTTTGAGGGAGGATTTCTTAACATGAAGTGGGGTGATTCCCTAAGGACTAGCAGGCTTCAGTCATGATTGGGCAGTTTTCTTGAAAAAATAAAAATGAAAAAAAAACCTCAGATTGTTGGGCAGGACGTAAGAAACAGTTGCTACCTTTTAGATCCTCACTTCTTGGCAGTTTCAAAGAAATTAAGTCTACTTTTCTGGCTTTACTACCTAGGTCACTCTGCCAGTTCTGGAAGTCACCAGCATTGGTAAGGCTGAATATTGGGAAAAAACAGGAATAGTGTGTGTATATAAATGTCTGAAATCTGTTAGCTGAAAGAAAGGACTGCTATTTTTCTGTCTGCTTGAACAACCACTTATATGATAAAGTGCCCTTTACTGAAGAAGTCCCCTGGGACATTTTAGCCGCCTGTTGGCAATGTGCCTGCGATTAACCAGAGGGTTTTGGCACAGGCTTTGTCTGAAATGACTGGTACAGCTCATTGCAGTGGGTGAGTAATGATGATATTTTTGGAGTTTTAATCAAGTTAGTCTATACCAATGAAAGGAAAAGCTGGATTGCCATCTATACAAATCTTCGGGCATATGAGTCACCTTCCCTCCTTGGCAGGTAGGAAGATTTTCACCCTCTTGTTTCTCTTTGTGCAGGTGATGCTGGCAGACAGGAAAGGGACAGAGGAGCTCTATGCAATCAAAATACTGAAAAAAGATGTGGTGATTCAGGATGATGATGTTGAATGTACAATGGTTGAAAAACGAGTCCTGGCATTGCAAGATAAACCACCGTTCCTGACACAGCTTCACTCTTGTTTCCAAACAGTTGTACGTGAGCTGTCTTTCTTGCCACCCTGATGTTTTCCGTACTATGTGATCATGGATTTTATCAGTTCAGTAACATTTATTATCATCCAACCTATAGATGATAGCTTCTGCACAGAGAAAATGGTGAAGTGAGAGATACCCCATGTAATTATCCCTTGTATTTTAAACATAAAACCTAGGCTTAAAGATTTTTCTTCATACAGTAATTCAAGCAGGCCAGTATGACAATTCATAAATTGAATAACATTTTCTTTGCTAAGTCAGACCCTTAAGCCCATATTCCCAAAGGCTCATAAATACTTGTAAGGATCTGAGGATACTACTTGAAAAGTCTTAATGGCTGTTGTTATATCATGAGGTGATTAGTCAGGAATCAATGGTGATGGATTTAATTTTGTTTTCTGGCCCAGAGGAAAGCATTGGGTTTTTTTCCTTCCTTCCCTATAAATACGTGAAGTGGACATTTCCCCACGGCAAAACATCTCCCAGAGGCAGACTGCAGGGTGGATTGGACAATCCAGGGGCACCGTACCAGTCTGTTGGATGACGTGGAAAGCCGCGTGGTAGGCAGTTGGCACTCCGTGTGCTCAGAGTTGGCATGGGTACGCTCTGGCACTAGTGACCTGGCTCCAAATGTTCCAAGCTAGGCAGAGGTCTTTATTCCCAAGAAATTAAGGCTCTTCTTGTCTCACCTTGTAGCCATCTTACGACAACAGCCTTGAACTCGTGCCCCAGGGGCGGGTTGTAGCTTAATGGGGTGACATATGTCGTTTTTCCACTTGACTATTCCATATCTTTTACCTCTTTCATTGGTGATGGTTTTTAGTCTAAAAACAAACAAATAGCAGGCAGTTCGTTAGAAGTAATAACTTTGTAATATCCCACAAACAAGCCACGTCATCCTGTCACCATTGCGTAGCATAATTGTCTATGTTGGTAGAGGCATTTTCAAACTCTGTTTAGCGTCTACAAATCTCTGAGAAAAAAATGGCCAGAATGCAACAGATTTGTACACATAATTAATCAGAATCTGGGAACTATTGCACTCGGTAATTCCTGCTTTCTAAGATATTTTTTCTGCCTCTACTTACAACATGAAGATGCTTGTAATGAGAGAAGAGAGGTCCTAGTGAGAAATAGACTTCTATCTCCCTCTCATTCTTTATAACTTCATTAATAGCCAAAAAGCTTGGTGTCATCAGTAAATGAAAAAGCACTTAGTTTAATTTTATCTTTCTTTTGAGCAAATACATTTTAAATGTAAAATCTTAAGAGTATAAATATCTAGTGGCTTCTGGCTAAGGGGAATGAAGGAAAAAAGTTGGAGTTTTTAGTATTTACGGTATAATTTTTTTGTTTTATCATGTACAAGAGCAACATAAAGGCCTAGATAAATCATTAACACCTTTGCCTAATTTACATAGTGTTTTCCTGCGAGTTGAGTGGTTTGCACTTGGTGCTATGAAATATTCTGAAGGATTAATATTATCTACAAAAATGAGAAATTGTATATGAAGGAGAAGAAAAAGCATAAACTGTGTGACCATAGGGAAAATCGATTATTTTTTGTTAGTGCTTCTAGCTGCAGGCTTCTGTTGCCATGGATTTTACAGTAAGACAATTCATACAAAAATCTAAATTTTATAAATCCAATCTGGCCAATTAAACAGTTTGCCCATGGCTTGTCTGTTGGACCCAGCTTAGGAAATCACAGCTTTAAAATGTATGTTAATGTTCTGAAGTCTTAGTTACCGGGCAATTAGAGACTTTCAGTCAATGCTCCTGAAAGGAAGAGGGGGAGTAGAGATGGAATGCGAGCATCTTAGTAATGAGCCTCTTTCCCATCAGAATATTGGATCAGAACTTTTCTACAGATACTTCAGGATAATGATTCTCTCTGAAATATCTAAAGGAAAATCAGTCTTCCATAATGGGGAGGAAGACTATTAATGCATCTTAGATGCTGTCTGGATCGTGTTATAACTGCAGAAGGGAAGCTCACCATAGTGTTGTCCACCAGAATTTTCAGCGTGAGGTGGCCAAAATCATCCATCCTAAATCAAAAGTGTTTGTGGACTGTAAACAAATGTGTTCTTAGTGAAGTCCCTTGGAAGAGCTCAGTTTCAGTCCACGGAAAACTGGGGGCCAGATCGACTGTTTTAAGTCTTATTGTCTGAAGGTCACTAGGAGGGAAAATGCTACAGTGCACTCAAATGTGTTATGGTTACATTTTATTTGAGGTACCTGGATATGGCCTTTACAAGTCCTCACCGTGCGAGAAAAATCTCCCTCCAAAATACCTTATTGCCATCTTCCCCTGGCTGAAATGTGTGCCTGCGAGAAAGTAATTTAGTGTCACTTGTAAAGGTTCCAGATGCTTTTGTAAACCCTACAACTACTGTTCTTCTTGACTCTTTTTAATAATTAAAATAATCTATTTTTAATACCTCCCATCTTCCAAAGGAAAACTTATTATGAAGGATTAGAAATGGCCTCAGAGCAAGAATTTTCAACCATCTTTAATTTTTTTTTACATTTATTTTTAGAGAGACAGATTTTTTAGACAGAACTATAAGTGAATAATCACGGAAACCATTGTAGACAAATTATATATAAAAGTGCGTCACTAAAATTGGCAAAACTGGACAGATCCCATCAGTCATTTACTCTTGCAGATTTTATGAAACATTCCACTTCCATTTCCTGATCTATCAACTTGGCCAGAATGTACAACCAGTCCCAATAGTCTTAAAAGCTTTATAACAACATATTAGTGGCTTTTTTTGCTGATCAATGCATATCTAATATTTTCTCTAATGTCTTTGTGTGTCTTTAATACTTTATCCTAGGACCGCCTGTATTTTGTTATGGAGTACGTGAATGGTGGTGATCTCATGTATCACATTCAGCAAGTGGGAAAATTTAAGGAGCCACAAGCAGTGTGAGTGCTTATATATTTAAGTCACGTCATCATCTTAATTTTATACTCTACAAGGATTAGGTTTCTTTATCACACTGTCTAGTAGAGTCTTCCCAGGTTCAGCGTGAAGTCCAGGCTGTCCGCGTTTGATGGTGTTTATTAAGGCCCAAGAGCTGAAGTTTATTTTAAAAATGTTGTTTGCACACGTAGACCCAAAAGATAGCTATGCCTTTTTATTCAAAAATACAGCACAAACAAAGGCATGCAATGCCGACTTCAAAAGTGACAAGAATTTAAACAAGGCAACAGGAAATTAAAGATGTTACTTGGTATTCTGGCGTTGTTTTTAAAAGCGAATTTAAAAAAAAAAAAAAAAAAGAGTAGAACATTTCAGTTTGAATTAATGTTATAGGGAAAGGCAATACAAATGGACTCAGCATTGCAATATAAATTATAGTTTATACAAGATAAATTCAGTGTATAGCTTATAAAAATTTCTGTGATCCTACTTTTTTATAGAAGTTTTATTTTTGAGCAGTTAATAAATGATTAGAAGTTGTTTATATACATGATCGCTTTTAGGTAACTGGACGTCTGGCCAGTGGGCAACCGATAATGATCCGTGGCATATTCCAATGGGCATAGATCCATCAGTGCCATTTTAGTCACGCTCACAGCATCTCATCATTTATTAGTGTTTCGTAATTCATTTACCAATGAAACTTTAAAATCAAGTGTGACCAACTGTTTAAAGAATTCAGCTAAAATAATTGCTCCTTTCGATTTAAATAACGGGGGCTGGTTTAAATGAGAGGCCTTCTAAATAGAAGTGTTTGAGATATAAAACAACATTTCAACACCTCACTAAAGAAAAGTTTGACGGTGTCGGATCATCCTTGACTCCCAGCTAACGTCGCTTGCCAACACCCCTTGCAAACTGGTGCTTTACGATGGCTTCCGCCCGCGGAGCATATTCCATCCAGCACACACCGACACCTCTGATCAAGTGTTTCAGAGCTAAGCTTTCCTTTCCCTTCTGCTAGCCGAAAAATTAATCTAATCTTTAAATAATCCTCTTGCATATAATTTGCACAGTTCCACAGCCACTGGCTTCAAACATCCATCAATATTATATATCCTTTAACTACATTCAGCAATTATATTTTATACGGTAATCATTTTAATTAGCTTTATGTAATTAATCCATTAACAGCCTGTATAAAAGAATACTATTTCTGCAAATTATTTCAGGCCATATGAATTGCAATGTAAATTGAGCTGCATCCTGAATTCAGCATTGGTATGTGATTAGAGATAACGAGCTTTGCGGGCAGATTCAGATCAGTGCAGTGAAATGCTGTGCTCCAGCTGCACCATTTCTTTGTGGTCTAGGGAGACATTTTCAGTTTGTTTTTTTAAAAACCTGCATTATTTTATCATCAAATACTCGAAGTGTGTCTGTTAAAGGCAAATTGAAGTGAGGCGTCTTTTATGTCATCTACCTGTAATATATATTTTTATACTTTAATATACATACACTATATTATATATATACACACACACTATATTATATGCTTTATATGCTATTATACTATCGTTCTTTACCATGATGCGTTTCCAAAATATTTTGTCAGAAGGAAATCATGAGGCAATAAGAAATCCGTTGGGTTTTTTTTCATACAGGTTCTATGCAGCTGAGATCTCAGTTGGGTTATTCTTTCTCCATAACAGAGGGATTATTTATAGGTGAGTATAATCTGACATAAGTAATCTCTGAACTATTTTTAAAACCCCAAAAGGATCAGTTTCTTTAAGGTTTCAGTGCATTTTTAAAATATTTTATAAAAAGCAATCACCATAGCATTTATTTTTGTGGTGTTGGTGCTAGTGCGCTGTGAACCAAAGCCACTGCTTTACCTGAGCTGTTCTGGTGTCTGTGCTCTGCCCAACTCAGCTGAAAACTCTTGAAAGCGTCACACCTGATCTTATGCCTTCCTGCGTGATGTTTAATCATCTCAGTGTGAGTGTGCTCGTGGTCATATGCATCTCCCTCTTGATTAATTGTCCAGTTTCAGGGCTTGTATCTGCAGCGAGGTGCCCGGCTCCGTCTGGACTGTCGATTGCCGTGCATGTGCAGCCCCGTCCCCTCCGCCCCCCAGAGAGCTACTCATATTCCTCACCGAGACCTAGCAGTAGATAAGTTGGCCCTAGTTGACCCTAAACATTAACATTAAATTACTGTGATTCTTCATAGAGATCTGAAATTAGATAATGTGATGTTGGATTCGGAAGGACACATTAAAATTGCTGATTTTGGAATGTGCAAAGAACATATGTTAGATGGAGTAACAACCAGGACCTTCTGTGGCACTCCAGACTACATTGCACCAGAGGTAAATATTTACCATTTCAAGAACCTTTTAATCTCAAATTGTCCCTACGCACATTTTACACCACCACGTTTTGATCGCTGTAAGTCTGGATACTCTGTGGATGGTACCATTTATACTTCTGCAGGTATATTGAATAATTTTGTGAATTAATACAATATTAATGATAACACTTCACTATTTCTAACAAATGGATTGAAAAGCTAACTTTTTATGAGAACGGTGCTTCAGGTTTTGTTCACGCTGGCAACAGACTCATAAGGCAGGATCACCACTTTGTGATTTTAAATTTGTAGCCTGGAAATAATGTTGTTATACTAAAATTCATGCTTCGATTTGTGAAGTCATAGAGACCTCATGGGTGTTGCTGAGGTTGTTGATGAGGTCAGCAAACATTTTTTTGGGAGCAAATATTGCCGCTTTAATGTATTTCTGCATAGGCTCACACAGCTGCCAAAATACAGATATCGAAAGGGTTGTTTGGCATTTTCAGGAAGGCACGAACCACTCATTGATTTTTGGGAAGGGACTCACGAGGTCTTGACGCTTTTCGCTGACCTCCCTGCAAAACTACTGTAGTCCTTTCCAGGCCGTATCGTACAAATGGTACATAGGTGTCCTGAGTTACTGCTCTTGATCTCAGGAAAGGTCTGCTCATTGAAAGCCTCAACAAAGCCTGGGTCAGGGCTTGAGTTGAGTTGACATAATAAATCCGTAACTTGCCTTGAGTTTTCTGTGACTTGGCGATACCCGTGCTGCATCCGAGCCCTTGAAAATCACATTCAAACATGAACCTGACTGCAGTGGGTCTAAAAGGCAAATTTGATCATGAGAAACACAGTTCTACATTAAAGCACTGGCATAAATACAAGCTTAGAGTTAAGATTTTTAGTCTGGATATGATTTGTATTTCGATAGTTTAGGTATAAAACATTAAAAGCAAGCACATGTGGTGATTTGGAAATGATTCAAATATATGAATATTAAAATCTGGTATTTGTGCGTACCGAGCTTTCAAGAGTCTTGATTTGTTTGGCTGCAAATTGAATGCAGGAGGCTGAATCCTGATCCAAGATACTCAGTGTTGCACTGAGTGCTGGGCAAGAGGCAGCTCTGGCTGGAACATTTCTGGCTGGAACTGAATGTTTGTTGGAATATGGGAGATTCATACACGGACAAGTAAATTAGCGTCTAAGGTAAATTTTGTCATTTCTGTGAAATTGGAATGAAAAATAGTTTGGGGTTTTTCCAGTTGCTAATTCGTGCTTTTCAGAGTGAAATATTGTGGTTTATAAAACCTTGTTTTTTCACAAATTGCTGTTGCTTGCAGCAGGATATCAGAACCACCAGAGCAGTATTTCATTTTCTCCTGTCAAAACACAAATGAAGCCAATATTACAAATTAAAAAGTGTCCTTTCTGTGGCAATAGCCTTGTGCCAGTTAATACCAAAGAACGTGTTGTCAGTGCCAAAATGCTCAATATGGGTCAGTGTTGAAATGATTTATTTTACTTTATTTGGGAATTTCATATAAAGAACTAAACCTTTTACCAAAACACTCAGTAACTGGGAGGAAATTAGTCTTTCTATTATCTTACAAACAGATGTATTTTTTTTTTTTTTAGTTGGCTGATTTTCTTTCGTTTCTGAAGACGTTATTGTGACTGACAGATTGCTAACTAGGTCTGTGGTGAACTTCAAAGTGAGGTTCATTTTTCGTTTGCAGGAGCATTTCAGCTTGTTTCCGTGGGCTAAAATTTATAAATTTATAATAGATTATGATGAGGATGCATTTGCACGGTACCATTCCCTGCTGGGTGGAGATAAACGAGCTAAATCTAAACAAACTGTTGAAGGTATCTGGAGTAGATTAGCCCTGCGAGTATGTTGCCCTCGAACAGAGAGAATTAGCTCTTTCGTCAGTATTTGGGAAAGAAGGTTGTGACTGTAGTGGGGTCTGCATGGGCCCGCGGTGCCTCCGCATGAACTACCCACAGACATGGTTCAGAGATGCCACGTCTGGAAGGACCGTACCGGGGCATCTCAGCTGGCTTCACACGTACAATCTCCGGCCGGAAAAGCAGGGGAATATGGTGCTGGATTCAGCAAAGTGGACTTTACGCTTTGGTGTACTGTAAAATAATGCTTTCCTTTTTTAATCATTGGGAAAGTTAGCATTTGATATTATCATAGAATCATCAAATGGTTTGGGTTGGAAGGGACCCCCAGAGGTCACCCAGCCCAACCCCCCTGCAGGAGCAGGGACACCTTGAACCACAGCAGGTTGCTCACAGCCCCGGCCAACCTGGCCTGGAATGTTCCCAGGGATGGGGCCTCCACCCCCTCTCTGCCAGTGTTTCACCACCCTCATTGTATCTTCCTGAGATCCAGTCTAAAGTGTATACGCTTACACACTTAAGTGTATAACGCACAGGAATTAATATTCATTTTCTTATCCTATGCAGTTTGAGAAATGTGCAGAGGTTGAACTGGTAGAATCCCAGGTTTGACCACTTCTGCCAGGCAGAAAGTGGTTATCCAGTAGAGAATATTTATTGATGTGCTGAACTTAAATATTTATGGTCAGAGAGGTAAAATAGCTGTGAAATCAATTAATACTTTGTATTTCCGTCGCCAGTCAAGAGAGACAGAGGGAGATGAGACAGACGTCCAGAGGGTAAGCGGGAAGGGATCCTGCCATCACAGACGGTGGTGCGGTCCTGAGCCCCACCATCAGCGTCCCCGCAGCAGCGGCTGCACTGATTTTGAATTTCAGAAGAATTTAAATTAGAAACTCTGTTTCCCTTTTCTTCCATCTAATAGCCTCAAAACTTTTAAGTTCTAACTTTGCATTTGCTGGGATTATGGGAGGCTAATAGGTATTGCAAAGGTTTGGAAAGTGTACCTTTGACTGTTTCTTGTGCTAGTAATATTTATTTCTTCTAATAACTGAGTTTTAACTTTTCCAGTAGCCATAAGATACGTTCACAAAAGACTCTCTCTCTTGCCTCTGGGATATAATCTTTTCATCCCAACTGCCTACCAGCTGCAAGCTGCAATGATCTAAACGTTCCTACAAATTGCTTGTATTAATCTCTGTGTCCTGCTCTTAACTGTGCCTTCCTTGGAGGCAAAAAGGAAAAAAAAAAGAAAAAAAAGCAATCAGCATTCCTCTGCCAGTTTGGCTTGACGAGAGAAATTCCTCCTGAGCTCTCAAATCCCCAGCACCTGAAAAGGCAGAGCTCTTAAAATACAGTTATAGGTAGGGAAAACGGGACGTTTTAAATGCAATAGGAGATGAAAAAGGCAATCATTTAAGTTAATGATGGAGAAGGAGGGGAAGGGTCCGATCAACTTTCTGCTCCTCCCTGGCCAGTAGAAAGCAGAGACCAGAGCTGGAGGAGCAGCACATTAAGAGGAGCGTGGCCAGCAGGGTGAGGGAGGTTCTCCTCCCCCTCTACTCGGCCCTGTTGAGACCCCACCTGGAGCACTGTGTCCAGTTCTGGGCTCCCTGGTTCAAGAAAGATGAGGAACTCCTAGAGAGAGTCCAGAAGAGAGCAGCAAAGATGATGAGGGGACTGGAGCATCTCCCCTATGAGGAAAGGCTGAGGGAGCTGGGCTTGTTCAGCCTGAAGAAGACTGAGAGGGGACCTCATCAACACGTACAAATATCTTAAGGGTGGATGTCACGAGGATGGAGCCAGACTCTTCTCAGTGGTGCCCAGCACCAGGACAAGGGGCAATGGGCACAAACTGAAACATAAGAGGTTCCAGTTGAATATGAGGAAGAATTTCCCTTTGAGGGTGGCTGAGCCCTGGCCCAGGCTGCCCAGGGGGGCTGTGGAGTCTCCTTCTCTGGAGATATTCAACCCCCACCTGGACACTGTCCTGTGCCCCCTGCTCTGGGTGAGCCTGCTTTAGCAGGGGGGAGGGACCGGGTGGTCTCCTGAGGTCCCTTCCAACCCCTGGCATTCTGTGAGGGTACTGGTCTGCATTTCCAGGCAGGTGAACTCCCTCTGTGGCTCTGCTCTGCACGCCGCACTGGGACAGGAGGTCATGTTAGCATACCTCACCTTGTTCTAAAAGGTACCACATTTGTAGATGCAGATAGGATTATTTTGGCAGCAAGGCGGCCCGTGCAGGCTTTGCGTGCAGCAGCTGGTAGGTAATACGTGGTGATTTCTGGGTGAGGAGGAGGGAACGACTGGAAATACAACATTTAGAACTTGCTGACTTTGTACCAAGGCATGTTTGACTGTATATTGAAAACTCATCTGCTTCCTCCCACACGTAGTTCCTCCCTTGAAGTGAGCGTTCTTTCCTCTCATTTGCATTTTCCAATTAATGCTTTGAATAGCTCCCAGTATCATGAGTAGAAGCGCTGGTTTCTGTGCATGACATGCAGGTTGGTGAACGAACGTGGCAGATTGCTTTTCTGTGTGTCACTTGTATCATATCCTTACCAGGATTAAGCCGATGATTCCAATTGGGTGTATTTAATTAGGATTAAAGGAAAAAAACTTCCGGTGTGCAGCAGCAGACATCGGCAATACCACCTTTTCCTACATCGTGATAAGGTTCAATGAAAGAAGTGTTTTCATTGCATTTGCGGCCTTTATAAATTAATGACCTTCTGAAAAATACCCCCTTTTTTTTTGGATAAAATACTCTTTTCCATAAGGCAAGGAGAGATTGTCAGAGAAGGGTTGAGGGTGAAATGATCTATCATTTCATGTGTGTAAAGGCCAGTGTTTTTTCTGGTTAAAATTTTGGAAGTGTTTGGTCTTTCAAGAAGCAACGCTGATTCCAGCAGACCTCTGGGAACCTGCTGGTGATAGGAATTAAAGGGAGAGTAATCAAGTATGTCAACCACTATAATATGAAGTAAATGTCCCAAATATATATTTTGAAGTCCATATTACCATTAAAAGACAACAAATAAAGACTGCCTTTATGTAGGACCCTCCAGCTGAGAACCTTGTTATTACCTCTGGTTGTGTAATACATTTCCAAGCACGATGGATTTTGAAATCTTTTGCTTGCAACATTGCAGTAACTTTTAATTCATGTGCTGCTGTTATGCCAGTGAAAAACATACATTCACATAGAGACTATAATTTTATTTGTATCAGGCAGTCTTGCTTTATTGAACTGGTGACTCACTCTTTTTTTCCTGAGAAACTACAAAACTTGCAGGTTCAACTTCTCTTCCAGACATCTAAAAAAATTGAGGATATGCGATGTGTACTTGTAGCGATTTGTTTCACAAAGAATAAGAACGCGTGCAATCAGGAAAATAAATGCAAGCCCATCTGGAGCAGTGACTGCCCCAGTTCTCTGCTTGTTCCACTGGGGCTGGAGGCTCTGGTGGATCCCCATGTGGGTGGGCAGTGGCTGGGGCGTCCTGCAGCCCTTCCGACTCACAGTAGCCCTTCACAGTTATTGAGAAGGAGATCTGAGTGAACGTCTGCACCTCAAAATTCCTCTACAGCACGCCCAAATGCATCTCTTAAATAAATTAACACTGATCTCTGAAGAGGCCTCAATTAAAGAAAATGACGCATGAGGGGACCTGCGTCCTGTTGGCTCTTGCAGCCTTTCGTTGTGTCAGAACTCAATTTGTGCTTCTGTGTGAGTCAGATGTGAACCCAGAGGATGCGAAATACTTGACATTTCCATTAGGCTGAGCAGCAGAAACCCCTTTCTATTTTGCGTAGCTGGTACCTAGCTTCATACTACGAGTATATTAATCATGCAACTTGGGAAAACGTAACCGAGCTTTTCAGGGTTTTGCTCTTAAATTTTGATTCCTTTTACAGCAGAACAAAAATATAAATATTGAAAAGAAAAGAAAGGCTTAATTATTAATAATCTGTAAGTTAAGTGAGTCTCATGATTTCAAGCTTTGGCACAAATGGATGGATAACATTCTTGCCTTGTCTCCTACACTGTGCTGCTGGACTTCCTTCTCTGCCTTCAGATGCACGTCCCAAGGTCCCCTAAGAGCCGCATTTCCCAAGATAGCGGAGTACCAAAGGACGTGGGCAGGTTTAGACTAACATTTGCAAAATGCTCCAGCTCCCACTGAACCCAGTGATTAGCTGGAATGAGGATTTCAGTATTGTCTTTCCGAGCTTTTTCAAGGAAATACATTCATCTCTGCATGTCACCATTTACCTAATGTGTCACAAAACTGAGTGTCAGTTAACATAGGGGTTTTTTCTTTGGGTTTTTTTGTGATTATACAGATTATTGCTTACCAGCCCTATGGGAAGTCTGTGGATTGGTGGGCGTATGGAGTGCTGCTCTATGAGATGTTAGCTGGCCAGGTAAGAGTTACCCCCCCACACCCCCTGTGCTTGCTGTGACCTCCCCTTGCCTCTCCAAACTGCTCTGTTTCAAGGCTCCCTAATGCGTTAGAGCTTAGGGGACAAGCTTGGGGCCTTTTATACTGGTATTATCTCCTTGTACCCTTGACTGACTCTGCTGAGAATGTTTTTAGGCTTTAAGCGCTTTATATTGCACCCACATAATCAAGCGCTGTCTTTGAATACGGCTTCTTTGTACTGTAATAATGTTATAAATAGCCATCTTCAAAATTGAATGGGAGGCACTTGAGCAGGAAAATGCATGTCAAAGGGAGGAAATATCATTTAGGAGTTTGAAACCACAGGGAGACATAATAAGAGTGTGTATATGCTCTGCATTGCAGTTAGGTCAGAAGAATACAGTTTTTCTATTGTATGTCCTAGAGGTAAAGTATGGGTCTCGCCACGTGAAATATGCTGGTTACGGACCCCTTATTCTGCACAGTTAATGAGATGCTGCTCACTGAAGTAGAAAAGCAACCCTGTACTGCGGTAAATGGCAGTTAACTACCACCTTTAAGGAATTCTGTTAGTCTTCAGTTGGAAAAGATTGCTGCAATCGGCTTGCAGTGAGTGTTAGCGAAAGGTATCCATTTTCGAAGCTTAAAACACACATTTTTAACAAATGCCTTTAATAGTTTCTCTACTAAATTCCAGTCGACATTTTAAAAGTTTTTAAAGCGGAGCAATTGCAGTTGGTACCATTTACAGTCTGTAGTGCAAATATTAGGGATCTGAATGCTTTGGAGAAAATGAGATTTACCATTAGCTGAGCCTTCCACGGTGCCCGTATCCTGGGGACTCGCCCGCCAGCACTTCCCTCATAACCTATATTTAAAAATAAAATGGAACCCTTTCTTGTGATACAGTCTCCCCTTCACAGAAGCAGAGTCTAAAGCCATGTCTTGTAAAACAAACTGGAGCTTAACTGAAATTAAGTGAGGACTGGATATACCTTAACACAAGGTAATTGAGAGTTACAGTCCCCGAGCTTCACCCTTTGAAATATTTTGGCTGTCTGGTGCACGGTAGCTTTAACAGCTGATTCAAGATGATCACGAAGATAGTCCTGCACACATTGCATTAACCTGGTTGCCATGCTGGGGACAGAAATTAACTTTTCTCCTCAATTTCTACCTAAGACTGATGAACACTAAACTTTAGGGTCAGAGGGTCCCAAGCTGCAGATGGCTGGAAGTTTGGTTTGTGTTCCTGGGCCACTATATATGGGCCACCACGTACCACTGCTGTATACTGTTTGTGTTCCTGGGCCACTATATGGGGCCACTCTATATGGGCCACCACGTACCACTGCTGTATACTGATCTCTTTGGGCAGGTTGCTGGGCTGGATGCACCTTTGACCTGACCCCCTGTGGTCATAATATTGTCATGCCATGTCATAAAAAGTGAAGAATTAAAAAAAAAAAAAAAAAACCACCAACAAAACCAGTAAGTAACTTACTTGTGATTTATTTTCAACAGCCTCCATTTGATGGAGAAGATGAAGATGAACTTTTCCAGTCCATAATGGAGCATAATGTTTCCTATCCAAAATCACTGTCCAAAGAAGCTGTCTCCATCTGCAAGGGGGTGAGATAGATGCTTCCTTAGCATTAAGTTCCTTTCTGGCAATCCTTGTGAATAACTGAATTTGTCTGGCTTTGATGTGGCACTGCAGTGCAACGGCACTGTCAGGCTGTGCTAAGCTATAATATTGTCGTGAAGTGCTCATCTCTTGGTGTCACTGATAAATATTCAGCTCTTCCCGCTGTGCCTGCTTGTTTTATGGTAAGAACAAATGTCAGAATCAGTAGCTGCCAAATCCAAAGCAGGATTTATAAACAGGCCGATGGCGTGAAACGCCTCCACCCACCTTGCCTCTCAGCCCTCGGCAGCGCAACCCCAGGTTTGCAGGGTTGAGGAGGTGTCTCAGCTTGGATGGGTACCAGATGCTCCAGCGAGTCCTCAGCCCTGTATGCCTAATGACAGCAGCACAGCAAAAGAATTAATAAGAATCATTTTTAAACATAGGCAAAGAAGAGCTTATGTGAAAATTTTTGGCGTATATGCAAGGCAACCGTGGGGAAATCCTGACCCAGTTGTAACCTGTGCGGCCTAAAATTTATCTCATATTCTAAGTTAATTTAATTTTTATTTTAAGGAAAAGAATAGATTTGACTTCAGGGGATTAGCTCAGGAAAAAAGAATTCATTTGACTTTCCCTTGACTCCACGTGATTCCCTAGAGTACTATCAGTCTGCGGCTTTTCCAAACCACCGTCTGTAAAGCCTTACTTTGATGTCTTTCTTACGCTGATAAAATATCACCGCACTTAGTGTCAGTTAATTTGCTATTTACTTTATGAAGTATTGTACATGAGCCGGATATTAATCCTTTTAAGGAAAAATCATCAAGAAAAAGAAAAGCTGTTTAGAACAACAAGGTAAAAGAAAAGACCGCTCCAATTTTGGAGTCTATCCCAGTGCAGACGTCCTGGCCAAAAAAAGCAAAACATGATTTATTTTGATAAAGTACATGCAGATTGATGCCTTGTCGTGAAAATCATATATTCAAGCACAGTTTGAACCTGATCTAATTACCGTGTTTTCAGCTCTCCTGCTTGCCGCTGTTCCGATAGGTGCTTATGCAGAGGAAGGTCAGAAAGCTAAAATTGCATTGCACCCCTAGGTTTAAGGTCAAGTCTCTGTGGTAATAACACGTTGATTGTCTGTATTAAGCTAACAAATTAATTCCAGATTTCAGTGAACGTTATACCTGAGCTAAGACATCGGTGTGAGACTGCTTCTGAACCGCGCAGTCAGCAGTAGCTCAGCAGTCCTGGGGCTGTGCGCCGCCGGGCAAGATGAGCGTGCCCGCTGTGCTCTTCAAATTGAATTGTCTGCGTGACATCTATTCCACTGAGTCAGAGTTTGCTGGGTTTGGTAAATGCAAGAACTTCGGAACAGAATTAAAATTGCTAGAGCCAGTATTCCCATTTTCTTCTACCACCTACTGTTAAAGCAAGGGGTCTAGGAAAGGTAACAACCATGGGAAAGCTGTTCAGCTTGAAGAAGGATGGGACTGCAAGCCCACTGCACAGCCGACTTCCCAAAGTCTGCTTGGAGTCGTTTTTATTTTAGGTTCAAAATTGGAATCTGATCAACTCAACATTTGGAGGGAGACTAAAGCAGTACAGCTGAGGTTTTAAAAAGACGTGTTGGGGTATCACTCCCAGCAGTACATTAATCACATATAATTTGTAAAAGATCTTTAAAAAGTCCCCACAATACTGGAACTGAGAGTCGAAGGCTACATTGCTCAATGCCTGATGTACATATCAATTGAAAAGATTTGGAGGAGCTTGTTAATTAGGGAGCGTATTACTGTTTCCAAGCATGCAAATGCTGGTGGGTTTGGGTTTCTTTTTTTCCCTGAGTCCGCTTAAGCTGTGCAGCTGGGTATAGTATTGACCAAGATGTCATTAAGGATGCAAGGGAGGAAAGGCAGATTAGATATTGTCAGCTGGGTGCCAAGAAATTGTAGGCTCTGTAATGAGATGTCTTGAACAAGCCCAGAAAAATGAAAGGGGGGGGGATACTTCATACAGCTTTAGTATATTGCAATTTATTAAGTTTAATTGGTTGTTGAGGTAGGGCAGAAGCTGTTTTGGAGATTTATAAGACTGAACTGAAAGACCGAAGGTGAAATTCGGGAGTGAGCTGTGAACTAATAGGATGGCAGCGTGCCCCGGGCACCGCCTGCCCACCCGCACCTCCAGCAGCCGCCGCTGCCGACTGGGAAACACTCCTCAAGTGCAACCCTCGATTTTGCTGCTGATGTTGCTGTCTCCAGTCATCAAACAAGAAAAAACTAATCCTCAAAAACCGAATTTCAGCTTTTCAAAACGATTTTATTAGCAACCTGCATATTCAGGAGAGGAGCAAGAGCATTGCAGTCTGGGGAAAGTCTGTCTCACTTTCATTCCAGTGTTAAATTTAATAATTTGGTATTTTCTTCCTAACAGCTAATGACTAAACATCCCGCAAAACGTCTTGGCTGCGGCCTTGAAGGTGAAAGAGACATCAGGGAACACGCTTTCTTCAGGAGGATTGACTGGGAAAAACTGGAAAGCAGAGAGATTCAGCCACCTTTCAAACCTAAAGTGGTGAGTGCGATGCCAAGTTCTTCCCTCGCTAAATGTGTCTGCAGTCAGGCTTTCCTGTGGGCTGAGATTAATGCTGCCTCGATGGGGCTGCAAATCTGGGACGCTTCTAAACTAAGGCAATTTGATTATGGCAGACCGGTCTGTAAGCCTGCTAATGTTTTGGCACCCTGTAGCACAACCCGGTGTGCTTTGTCCTTGCGAAAAAGTCTCTCGGTGGTTTGAGTTCTGACTGGACGGCCACGCGCTGCGTGAGAAGTTGAAAACAGGGAAAACTGGCATTTTCACATCAGCCACGTGAGGCCGGTAATAAATGCAGTTCCTGACTGTCTCCTCTGAACAACACCAGAAGTCAGTGATTAAAGGTGTCTGAATTACTGGGGGGGATTTCCTCCACGGTGGGCTACACAGCATGGGGGGTTCTCTCCCCATCCTAGAGTGACATCTGCTGAGTTTGCAAGAATAATCCCAGATGTATTTTTCACGTTTGTTACTGGTTTGCACGCATGGTTCTGCAGGAATATTTTAGAAATCCAAACAAGTGAAAGATGTCCTGACCGTGCGAACTGTTTGCCTAATAGAATTTGAAGAGTTGTATTTGTTGATACAGAATTTCTTTCAGCATGTACTGTGCTATATTGACAGGCAAAGAGACGTATTTGCACACAAGAACACAAGCTTTCAGGAACAGCCCTAAATTGTTCTGTTCTAACATTGAACCTGTCTTCTCTAACACTTTTTTTTGTTTCAACTGCGATGCGTAGCTGGCTGTAGCACTGCAGGTGTAGGATCATCGGGCTGTACACCGATTTATTTACCAATACAGACATGCTGGTGTGGTAGCGCACACTAATGAACCACTACCCGCTGGCAGAATATCGAATTGTCTAGGTTGGAAAAGACCTTTAAGATCATCAAGTCCAATATTCCTCAAGTCCATATATTCCTCTCTTTTTGCGTACAGATGACTTTTTCACATCACCAGGAGGGGAGTTGTGTGCCGAGAAGAGTGTTTTGTGCTAGTGGAAATACCCTTTACATGTGGTGTGGCTTTTGCACGTAGGGAAGGGTGTAAATAAGTAAAGAACACAGGTGGTGCTGCCAACCCTGCCCGGCCAGCCCCTGGAGCTGTCTGTCCAAAGGGGAGCTGCACCTCTTTAAAGCAGGTTTTATGGAAGATGCTCATGACAAGCTTTTTGAGTCAAATTTAAAGCTGATCGTAAAGCAAATCTACCTTCACATCTGTAAATTTTACTAGCTCAGGAGCTGGGTGCTTAGACTCTCCTTGAAGTTAAAAGTAATGAAGGTACTAAAAGCTTGGAGTATGGTCTGGTTCCATCGTAGCACGCTTCGTGGCAGATCCTGGCTCCTGTTTAGAGCAGCTGTGCTCCATCTCCGTGGCTATCGTGACCTGTTTTGTTTATACAGGCTGCTATTAAAATACACCAAGGAGTATTCACATGGAGCCGAACTTTCCCAGACAAAAATAATTTAAAAACCAAGTCTGATATTTACATACCCTATATATAACTCATTTATTGCGATTGCTGATTCTATTTATATGGATTCTAGAAAGCAAAAACACACGACCCTTAATCTGTTTGAAGCTATGGAGTATTTATAGGCTTTGTTTGGGGTGGGGGTTTTTTTCAGAAAGCCTTTCTAGGAGCATCTTCTCTAGGAAGCGTATTGCTGCAGGAATGATCCCGCTGCTATTGCACACAAGCACCATTCTCACTCCAACATGGAGCCGCAGATTTTGGGTCAGCAGTTGGTTGGTTTAAATAGTGTGTTCCCTTCCAGACTGACATTTCACAGGCTATAGGCACGGACTGATGATTTGGCAAGAAGGACATTTTGCTCATATTTGTAAGTTCAGGAGTTCCAGGAGCCCCATATTTTCAGTTCTGCTGTAATACTGCATCGACAGTCATCATAGCAATGCTATTCCTTAATGTGAAGACAAATACATAATTGAAAATGCAGATTTATTGATAAACGATTACATTTGCACCCAAAAAATACCCAAATTTCACGTGAGTTATTCCTCAGCCTCTACTAGTATAAGCAGTAGTGAGAGGCTTAATGACGTCAGGAACTTTGGTTTCAATCCACAGCTTTTTTTAATACCTTCCACTTCCTGAGGAAATAAAAAAAAAAAGAAGAAAAGAGAAAAGACAGAGCGTAATTTTGTGGAAGAATGATGCATATCTGTAGAACATCTTTTTAGTAAAAAGTCTTCCCTGTTATAAAAAGCCCTTTGTTGACTGTACTGCCTCTAAATAAATTCGAGGGGTACATAAACATCTTCATTTGGGGGTACATCAACTTTCATTCCAATGATGAAGAGTTTTCCCCTTGTCAAAGTTCAGCTCTGTCCATTCTTGTTCTCCAGAGATTCTGTACCAAAATGCATTGGCTTCAGTGGGCACCAGGGTATTCGGTGAGTGCAGAACCCCGGGTGAAAAAAGCAGACTACCATTAGCCTTTAACCCGTTGATGTGTTCCTGTGCTTGTGTTCTTCCAAGACTGAACAAGTGTCCTTCTGTGAGCACTGCGGTCCTGTACCTGAGCATGCGTTTTTCATCTGAAATATAAACCAGCTTGTGCCCCAGGCAGCAAAAGTTCTTTGCAGCTCAGATCAGATGGCGTGTCCCAATCCAAGACATGCCAGGTGCTTTGCAAGAAGGCTGGAAACTGTGACTGAGCTCTTTTCAAGATAGCCAAACACCTCACCCTCGAATTCCCTTAATGGGCCCCTCTTCAGTTGGCTTCTCCTATGAGTGTGCAGCTTTATTCATGTTACATTAGTTCAGAAAAATCAATGTTTAGTATTGATCTCTTGTATGAGCCATATTCTACCCTTTCCAAGTTATCCTCTAAGTCTGAAGATAATAGCGTAATATTATCCTCTAAATCCACGTGTAGCTATTGTAGGGAGGGATAGAGCAGAAAGGGTCAGGGACGATGGGGAGGAACATTCAGCGCCTTTATCGTACAACCACGCTTTGTTCGAAGACCTATTACAGTAGGTGATTTTGAGATGAGTGGATCTACCAGTTTCCTTTAGATCTCGCCACAATATTCAATTTTCCTCAAATAAGCATTTTTCCTTGCACCCAAGCTAATTTTGTTCCAGCCTTCATCCTTTTTAACTTGCCTCTAATCATACTTCCCTGCTTTTCAAGTGTTTTCTGCATTACTCAAAACTATCCTTTTCGCAAACCCGATTTCTTTTGTTTTCTGCTCTGAATGAGTTGTGTTCGGCGTGTAGCTATATATAACCCCCCTTCTCGGCTGGGCTTCGCGAGATGACGCGTCTCGTCTCAGACAAAAAAAAGGAGGAAACCTGTGATAGCACCTTTTGTAACGGGGACCCGTTCCTAGGAGGCGCTCCCTGCCCCGGCCCCCCCCCCGCAGTCCCCAACACTGAAGCTCTGCTGTCGTTTATGAATTTACGAGGGTTTATAGGCTGTACGATGAAGAATCGAAGGATATAAATTAATTACATTAAGCTTTCTGCAGATCATGAAGGAAACAGACACTAACACAATTTAATTTTGCATCATAAAGGTTTTGAGAAGAATGAAATGACTTGACAGAGAACCCATCTCTTGCCAATACATGTCCATAAAAATATTTTCTTTTTCCTTTTTTATCCCAGTAATCCTGAATATTTAAACCTCTCTACCTTGCCACCTCATGCTGATGGATGGGAACTTTTCTGACTCTTGTTTTTTATCAGAATTCATCTGTTACAACTTCGCGGTTTGCCTGGGATTTTTTGTTAAAATATCTGAAAAGAAAATTTTCTCTTAACTACTCATAAGAAATGAGGGAAAGTCTTGCATGTATCCTGAAAAATCTGCAAAAAGCTCCAATGTATTCCTGATTTTTTCAGCCTTTTTTCTGTTTGTTTTTTTCTTGCAGTGTGGCAAAGGTGCTGAAAACTTCGATAAATTCTTTACACGAGGACAGCCGGTGTTAACACCTCCGGATCAGCTGGTCATTGCTAACATAGACCAAACAGATTTTGAAGGGTTCTCTTATGTCAACCCCCAGTTCGTACACCCCCTTCTACAAAATGTAGCATGAAATGGCAGAACAGGAACAAATCCCGCAGTGGAGAACGGTCCTTAACCCTACAATTTTTAGGCTTTTGCCTTGTTGATTCCATTTGGCCCTGGAAATTGTAGGGTTAGAAAGCGTAGATGGGGAGAAGGCCACGTTCAGGGTTTTGGCTTCGCAACAGCAATGTTGTCCTAATGGGAGATAAATTAGTATACGGTGCCCACTTGTAGAAGTCACCACTGACTCGTCTAAACTTACCCATTTTTTGGTACGTTTTGTAACTTCCCACTGCCCTTTTGCTCCCTTTTCCACTCTGACGTGTTAGAAATAATCTGACGCATGGTCTGAAAAAAAAAAAAAAACCAAAAACCCAACCTCAAATATTTAGTCCTTTGATGCGGATGCTGGGAGATAGGAGCGCTCAGCCCGAGGGACC